TATATATATATTATTGTTTGGGAGCATGGATGATTATAAATTGATTTTATATTGATCATGATTGTATGCCTTTGTATTGTATATTTATGATGTCTTTTGATATTTTTTCTTTCTTTTTTCTTTCTTTTTTTATTTTTATTTATTTATTTTCTCTTTTGTAATATTGTGTGGGCTGGGTCAGGGACTACAGGTGGAAAATAGCACCTGATATTGTGCATCTTTCCTTTAATGGCTAATGCATACTGTATATTGTCCCTGTTTTTAAATAAAAGGTTATATACTGTATATTCCAAAGCTGATTTAAAGTATAGGCTCACTTCCAATGGTGAGAATGTGAATTTGTTAATAAACTAGCAGGCACAWCRGTAATRAAYGGCTTTTGCGAGGGAACGCAATAGTATTGWACAGAAGAGCCTTGCATTCACGAAATAAAAAAAATGTAATCAGAAAAGATTTCAAAATTACAAGATCCTTATCTCGTAATATGAGATCAGGAGTCAATCAGGGTCATGGCGGCTGTGGTGGAGTGATCGGGGTAGTCGTGGAGCTGTTTGGTACCGAGGTTGTGGATCCACCCGCTAAATAAAAAGTTCTACACCTCTCATTGTTTACGTGCTTTCATCAGCTTTTCGGTGTAGTTAGCATCCAGTTAGTGATACAACTGGTGTTTTGCTGGGGCTCCCTCTGCCTGAATGATGTCAGCTGCGGGGGGTTGCTGGTAACAAGCTCAGGATCCTTTTTAAGGCTCACTCCACGTTTGGTCCTTGCTGATGCATCACTGCTAATTGGTAGTTGCTAAGCCTCTTAGACTTTTTGTATTCAAGTCATAGTTTTTGTAAATGTTAATCTCTGCCCTTGTCCAGGACCAAGCCCTGTCACCTTTTGACCACGGATTGTTCACCAAGAAGTTTTCACCACGTTCACCACCAGCACTGTCACCAAAGTAAGGATTATACTCACTGTGCCACTCACCTGTGTTGGACTGCAGGTCACTCTGCCGAAGATCAGATACGTTGTGGGAACTCCCCCTCTTGTGCCGGACTGAGACCACAAGAACCTGTAAGAAGAAAATCTTACCATCATTGCAAATTCAAAACAAAGACTTTCTGGAACTGTTACTGACCTCTCGCTCTGCTTTCCCTCTTCAGCCCTGGGCCCAAACAGAACTGCACCTCTAAATAAAAACACTTTCTATTTGACTGAACTGTCTCTGTGTGAGCTTACACGGTTCCGCTTATCAGGTAAGTCTTTACCTTGTGTTAGTTAGCGCCGCCCCAGCAGACCGGTAACGGGACCGTAGAGTCCACTCGGTGCTTGACCTTCTTCTCTTGCCTCTAATAATCGAAATAGTGAATCACCTACTTCCTCATCAATATCAATTATCTAATGATCTAATTTATTTTTAATGTAGTGAATGCAATGCTCTTCCGTAGTATTGCATGGGAATGCAAAAGGAAAAAAAATCCCCCAATGTCCCCTCGCAGGCTCCATATTCTGTACTCTACAGTTTAAGTGTCGCAAAACATTTATGTGACCTTTGAGAAAAATGAAAAGTTAAGAAGTTTCTGAGCAACCTTTGTTCAGTTCTTTCATTTAAAAGTCTGGTGTTAAGGGGTGTTGACGATGGTTTTGCAGGGGATGATGAAGAAGGGCTTGGCAGGATGTGTAATTATGGAAGGAAGTAGTGAACGTATAAAAGGATGAGAGGGAACACGTTTGCGTTACAAGGCTGACTAACATTTCGTCATCACAATGCAGCTTTACGGAGCTCTGATCCTGTTGGGGACTCTCTCTGCAGGTGAGAATGTGGTTTTTTTTTTTAGGACATAAAAACAAAACAAACTGAAAATAATCTGTTTATTAACCTGTTAGTTTTGAAAAAATGAATTAAGCTCATTTTTATACATCTGTTCCTTAATGATTAGTTGAAAATGTATTTGAAATGTAAAACAATGTTTTTATTATTAAAAGTCAATTCCCATTTTAGAGCCCATAAGCATAACACAAATGTAAAAGCAAAGGGTTTATCTGTGGTTTTTGTCAAATTGATTAATGTCCTCTGTTGCCCTGTTTTGTTTTATTTTTATGTTGTTTGTTTGTTTGTTTGTTTGTTTGTTTGTTTGTTTGTTTGTTTTTTCAGCTTATGGATTAAAATGCTTCCAATGCACTAATTTGGAATCAAAATTCTGCACAACTGAAGCCGTTTGTCCTGAAGGCTTTGACCGTTGCTCTACTCTCAAAAAAGATGGTGAGTTGTTGTTAAGGCCATTAAATGTGTTTATGCTGGAATACCCTGTGGTTGTTGTACTGTACTTTTACAGTAATGTTGTTGAGTTGTTTCCAATATTTTTCTTTCCTGTTTCACAGGTACAAACCTTGTAACCAAGAGCTGCTCTTACAGTGCACAATGCATCAATCCTTTTTACTGCTGTGGTTGGGATTTGTGCACCACTAACGAACCCATCGAACCCATCCAGCCCACCCAACCCACCCAACCCATCTATCCAAGCAATGTGGCCCCCTCCTGTCAGATGACGTCCAGTGTCATCCTCACTCTGGTGTCTTCAGCTATCTTCACACTTTTTATCTGAGGCTTATACCAGCAGAAAATACGGAAGTATTGTAAAAGCTTTAAAATAAAATGGAATACAAATTTGGCAACAGTTTTTTTTCCCTCTTTAGACACACAAAAAACGGTTGCTTCACAGGGATAAACATGACTTTCAAGTATGCTGCTGACATCAAAAATTTTGCAAAAATTTTTTAGTTTCTTAGCTTTAACATTTGATGTGTTTAGTGGTAAATTGTCATTAAATTAAGGTTTTATGGGACTTGTAAGTCAGTGTATTCTGGTTTTATTTACATTTCACACAACGCCCATTTTTTGTCAAAACTGGCAGCGTACATCTGAAGTATAACATTTAAAAAATGCATTTATTTAATCTTAGGTCAACCATGAAAGAAAAATCCTGCACAGGAAGAAAAACTACAAAATCCTGATAGAGCGGTTTTGACATAAACCAGTTTGTTCTACTCAGAAAATTGTTTGAAACAAAGTCATTGATTTTCTAAAAACTAAATTAGCAAAATTCTACTTAAAAGCCAGACAAAAGCTAAAAGGACAAAGAAGCTAAAAGTAAAAAAATAAAAGAAAAATAAAAAACTAAAATTAAACATTTAAAACAGAGTAATTGTGCTGGAGCAGAGACCAGTGTTTTTGAATTAAATAGGATATTTTAATGCATTTCGATATTTTCAGCAGGGAATATTTTTGTAAACAAAGTTAAAACKAACTGTCGGACTTTCATGTAATGTTTTATTTCAAAAAGACAGGGACTTCTTTTGTGTCAGTAAGTTTTCGTCAACGTTTACCAAAATTATATGTGGGGTTCCTCAAGGTTCTACCTTGGGGCCCCTTAATATTTACCTGCTCATCAGATTATAACACTACATTACACTGTCACCAGGTGACTATAAACTCATTCAAACATTATGTAGCTCTGTGGTTGTGCCATATACAGTATGTATTTCTTTTCAACTGAATAAAAATAAAACTGCAATAATTATTTAGGACCAAAGGAGTAGCGACCAAGAGTCAGCATCAGGCCCAAAATCTGGGTGTAGTGATTAACTCAAACCTGAACTTTCATAAACACAATGATAATATAATTATCACAGGTACACATTCGGCCTTCCATCACATGAAGAACATGTCCAGGAGTGAAGGATTAAAGTCCAAGCAGGAGCGTGAAAAACCCCCCCATGCATTTATCTTTATTCTAATTGATTTCTTTAACAGGATCTTGACAATTCTGCCTAAAACGTGTCAGACTGCTGCAGCTGATCCAGAACACTGATGCCTGCGTCCTCAGAAAACTGTAGAGAACACCACCCCAGTTCCAAACTCCTTACACTGGTTCTCTGCATCTCAGAGAATAGACTTTGAAAATTTTCTCAGTTTATAAATCACTGATTTGTTGTTGTATCAACCTTCCAGACCACTCAGGTTTTCTGGTTCAAGTCAACCCCAGAATCAGAAGCAAATATGGAGAGGCAGCATTCAGTTTTTATGCTCCACTAATTTGGAACAAACTCCCAGAGAGCTGTAAGAATACAGAAACCCGGAGTTCTTTAAAATAAAGGTTAAAAAAAGCCATGTTTAAGTTTGCCTTTGTTCCATACAAAATATCAACTAAAACATTCATTATCTTTCCTTTTCTTTATTAAGTTGTGTACATTTTTTATCATGTAAAGTACTTTGAATTGTCTTGTTATAGAAATGTGCTTCCTAAAAAATTTCCTTGCCTTAAATATTCAAAAATATAAATGCAACAAAAACCTCATCTCCTGAATGAGTTGAATGTTTTGATGTAAAAATGACTAAAATTTGGCCAAAATAAATTATGCAGTATGTACACTACATAACAAAAAAAATGTACAGAAAAACACTTGTTTTTCTTTAGAAACAAACAAAAACATGGGTAATAAAACCATGCTGGCTGCTCTTAGGTTTTCTACAACCAAACATGTTAAACTTTCAGTAAATACAAAAATGTGTTTCTGCTAGATCCACAATAATCGGTTTACTAAAGTAAGGATTTGTATCTCACATAATTAAAAATTGTTAGGCTAATTGATAACTCTATAAATTGTCCCTAGGTGTGAGTGAGAGAGTGAGTGTGTTTGTCTCTTTGTGTGGTCCTGTGATGGACTTGCGACCTGTCCAGGGTGTACCCCGCCCCTCGCACTGTGACTGCTGGATATGAGTACCAGTGACCCCCGTGACCCTGAAAGGAATAAACGTGTACAGAAAATGGATGGATGGATAATTAAAAACTGCAAGTTGAATGAGGAATATTTAAAATAGTTTAGTAGTCTCTTTGTATTTGTTAAACTTTTGTCTTAGAACATTGTTCTGCTAACAAAACAGACATTTTTTTCTTTAGTAAGATATTAAGAAAAGCAGAACCAGCAAGTGATTCAAGTACTGTGGAAAATGACTCGCTGACCAGCGAGAACTGGACTTTTGCGCAACACGGTTTGAATAAACTAGAGGAGAAAGTCAAGAAACAGTTGAAACAAAGGTCAGAGCAGAAAGAGGAACTTGTTAAGATTAGTGTTTTCTCTGCCTCTCCTGTAGCAAGAAGGTGGCATTTTCATGACCTCCAAACCTGAGATCATGTGTCAGAACAACTGCAAAATGTTCTTTACACTTTCTTTTGACAAAAATGGTGATTTTCTTTTAACCAAAAAATCCATTTTGAAACAAGATATCAAACGCAGTGAAATGGAAATGACCAAACTGGGCAGGACATGTCTTTAATTTGTTGTTTTTTTAATATCATAGCATCAAAGGTCATCATGCATTCTCAATACTTCCAACACAAATATAATCAAAACTTGGAGTGCTGTTGACATAAAGCTTATTAAATTACTTTTTTTGTGCATTTCAACTTGTCAAACAATATTAGTTGTGTAATTGACACCAACAGGACTGGCAGCCCACTGAAAACAGACTTGTTCATTTAATCTAAAACACAGCATAACTGTTAATTAATCCATCCAGAATCAATATGAGGAAAGCAAAGTTCTGCAACACTTTGTATAAAAAGAAATAATCATTAGCTTCATCTTCTTTGGCACTCAACTTAAAACAAAACAACTGTTATACAGCAATAAAAAACACTAATGCTTAAAAGAAAATAATCTTTCCCTTTGACAGCTAACAGCCTGCTGTGGTACATTTGAAACATCTTGGTTAAAAACAACAAATACATTCAACAATTGATTCAGTGTAATGACAAATTTTCCAGTTACAAATGTTTCATTACAAACACTTATTCAACTCCTATCATAACAGCAAGAAAGCAGCACAAACACGAGCCTGCAGTCGGTCCAATATCACCTACAAAACGGCTGCATTCACAAGAGTTATCCTTTGTGCTTTAGTCTCATGCTAGCAATCACTGTGAGAGCAGATAAATTCATGCACTTTGTGAAGTCACGGCTTCAAGCGCATCACTCTGTGCAGAAGGAAACGTGTCAAGCTATTCTGAGTTCTCTTTGCCGGATGTCAATACGAGGTTTAGGAAATAAGGCAAATAAAGACACAAGGCGGATGTGGACAGCACACTAAAATTTGGCATCATTGAGAACAGTGGCCACAAATACATCTTTTATATCTTTGCATAAAAAAATATTTCTAACATCAAACATACCCTGAGCAGAAAATCTAACTTGTGCATTTATTATTTTTAGAACTAAAAAGACAGAAGGACAAGGCAGGTCAGGCACCGCTGACTTGAAAATATTTGCAGTTTGTTGATCATTACAAGTACCAACAATCACATATTTACATTCATCAACTGCTACGACTAAAGTGCAGCAATCAGCAATGCTGGTTAATGCTTGTTGGAACTGGACAGTTAGGATGAATAATTCAGGCGAGTGTTTTGAGCCGAGGTGCAGATGTCCAACTGAGCTGTACTGCACCCACAACAAGTCTCAGTTCTCTTATTGCTCAATATATTTTTTATACCCTGCTTTAAACAAACACCTCCTTGGATCCCCCAAAGCATCCCAAGTGAAGGTGTGGGTTCAGTCTTTCAGGAAGATTTGATGGCACAATCTGGGATTGTTTATATTGTTAACTTTGGAAGGCACATGAGGATGAAGTTCAGCTTTAAGATGCTAAAAAAAACAAAAGGTAAAATCTATTTCTTTAGGCAGGAGCAGGTTCTAAGAGACATAAGCTCAATATTGACAAAAAATTACACTTCTCCTTTGAAAAGCCAACATTCTCAGTCACAAACTGGTTCATTTGTTCAAGATAACAAATATGCACACGCAGTGTGTGTGTTTAATTGTTTTTCTTTAACATCTAATACCGGGTAAAGTATGCAACCTCATCCAGGTCCACATGGTAGTCAGTGAGGTACAATGGGCCTTTATCAAAATGCTCTCCCTTGTAGCTCTTCCATCGTCCTGCAGGCAGGTAGATGTCCCTCTCTTGCTTTCCAGGTTCCAACACCGGCGCCACCATCAGGTCATCACCAATAAGAAACTGAGAGTCGATCTTAAAAGCCGCCTCGTCGTCCATGGCGATCCACCACAGAGGCCGTATGATAGGGTCTCCTGTACCAAGAAGCTCACCTGCCAGTTCAAGGACCCTCGGAGCCACCAGATTTTCATGGAGGTTTGTGAACTTCTGGGCTATCTGTACCACCTAAAGATGAATGTATATTAAGACAATGTTAGAATCAAAGATTTTCAAATAACACATTAAAATTCTGTTTGACCTTTGGCATGAAAACATGTTAAAAACAAGACTACATGCACTGTACTTTATCAACTGCATAAATTCACTCCATTCTCTGTATAGAAGAATTATGTTTGTTGTTGTCAGGAAAAGACCACTGTGTTCAACTCGTTTTTGGGTTTGTTTGTTTTTTTTGTTATTTTTAAATGTAAAATATCATACATATATAAACACACTTCTAGCATAAGAACTTTACATTGACTTCCATTRATTTTACATTTGTTTATAGCCTAACTTAAAACAAAACCTTAACCAAAAAGCAGCTTTTGAACAGATGGGGACTGGGCTTTGGATCCTCAGGTGGAGTGTACTGGACATGTAGATCCACCCACCCACACCCACCCACACCCACACACACCCACACACACACACACACACACACACACACACACACACACACACACACACACACA